TGGAGTTTTGCTCGCAGGTCCATAACGTACTGTATTTCGTTTTTACTGGTGCTTGGACCCTCCTCCCAGTTTTCCTTAACTAGGTCCAAAACACCCCGGGGCTGCCTACCAAATAACAGCTCAAAGGGAGAAAATCCCGTGGAGGACTGGGGCACCTCCCGCACTGCAAACAACAGAGGATCTAGCCATTTATCCCAATTACGGCTATCTTCGTGAACGAACTTACGAACCATGTTCTTTAGTGTTTTGTTAAACCGTTCCACCAGGCCGTCGGTCTGCGGATGGTAAACACTAGTCCGTATTGAATGGACGCCCAATAGTTCATACAGCTCGCGTAGTGTGCGTGACATAAACTGTGTGCCCTGGTCAGTCAGGATCTCTTTCGGGATCCCGACTCGGGAGATAGTGCCTGCGCGACGCTCTTTGCAGAGATATTACGCAGCGGCACTGCCTCGGGATATCGCGTTGCATAATCCACTAGGACTAGTACAAAGCGATATCCCCGTGCACTCCGGTCTAATGACCCGATGAGGTCCATACCAACTCTCTCAAAAGGCACCTCAATCAATGGTAACGGGCGCAAAGGCGCTCTGGGGATGGCCGGCGGGTTAACCAGCTGACATTCAGGGCAAGATGCACACCACCGCTCCACATCTGCGCGAATTCCCGGCCAATAAAATCGGGCCATTATCCGGTGTAGTGATTTGTCGTACCCTAGGTGACCTGACATGGGGTTATAATGAGCCGCCTGGAAAACCATTTCCCGACGGCTTTTTGGCACCAACAACTGGGTATTTATCTCTCCTGTCTGTGTGTCACGGCTTACACGATACAGCCTGTCCCTAACCACCGTAAAGTGTGGGTGAGTGAGTGCTGCGTTTGGGTGTAGCTGGGAGCCATCAATACTCACCACCTGGCCGAAGGCGTGCTGAAGGGTCTCGTCCCTCGACTGTTCGAGGNGAGCGATGAGGAACAGGTGGGGCTTGAAAAGGCCCACCTGTTCAAAGTGGGGAATGACAGGAAAAGTTTGAGAACCACTGGTCTAGAGTATCCTATGTTTTTTATTTTAAGAAGCAGATTGTTCTATTAAACCGTATTCTGTATATTTTAAATTATTTACTTTTCTGTTGATTTGTATATATTTACAATTAAATTTATTCAATTGTTTTTTAAAATCTATTTAAACTCATGTGCAATGGGCAGACTCACTTGGAGAGGTAGAGCTCAGTGAGGCTGTGCAGACCACACACTGACTGGGGAACACACTCCAGCTGGTTATCATTCAAGAAAAGCACTTCCAGTGAGTCCCGCAGAATCATGGGAAACTCTATGGAACACACTGCCAAGACAGAGCCATGCATGGTCAAACACAACAGACACTTTATAACAATGTAACTTATACTGAAAATGGCTTTGTGCCAACATTTCCAAAGGAAATAACAAGTAAGCAGCATATTACACATTAGTCTGAAATGATGTAAAACATTATGTATGTAACACTGATACAAAACAAAACACTGTAGCACAACAATTTGGTATTGAACCAAACCTCACTACAGGACGGAATCATTCATCAGGATCTGATTAGTTTGAGCTATGGGGTCAGAGATGGTTCAATTAATGCATTTGCATTGGTTTTTGTCAAAGGAACCAGAAGGAGTTTACTTCCAGGTTTTAGGATGCATCACTGTGACACTCTATGGCTCAAACAATGTAATGGTGTGATCACAAATCTGATTGGACTTGATCAGACTCAAATGCTTTGAATGCATGTGAAGCAGATGTACCTGGCTCTGGGTCCCTCCTGTTCCAGGTTGTCAGGAAGGCCAGCTTCCTGGATTTGGGCCCCTCCTCTGTTCTAAATAGACAATTTTAAATTTGATAAAAAGGCAAAAGCAGTAGAAGAAGTTACAAATACTAATCTATTTGTAGGCAGACACCCATAGAAACCTCCAACCCAGTATACTGCATGTTTTTTCTTTAAGTGCCAATTTCCCTTATAAAAAAAGATTAATCAGCAAGACATTGAGGAAGAGTTTTCTCACTAGATTTAGGAATTATCCGTATATATATTGATGCTGACAGATGGCTCACAGGACGGTTATGAGCTCCAGCAAAATGGGAACGAACGTACTTATGTCCGTCTGTCTGTGTGTCTGTGTGTGTCTGTGTGTGTGTGTGTGTGTGTGTGTGTGTGTGTGTGTGTGTGTGTGCGCGCGTGCGCGCGCGTGCGTGTGTGTTTGTGTGTGTGTGTGTGTGCGTGCAGAGTGGACCTACCTGCCCAGCTGGTTCCTGGATAGATCCAGGGTCCTGAGCTTAGAGCACTTCCACTTACTGGGGGCAGGGAGTGTGTCAATGTGATTCCCACACAATCTCAACGACACTAGAGCCTGATGGGAGGAGGAGATGCTGTGACTGCACATTCACACTTTCATGTCTGCTTACAGCTGTTCCTCCAGCCAAATGAGCCGCCAGAAGTATGTATGTCAGTATGAGGCAAAACTTGAAAGAGTGTTAAAAGCAGCAGCTTCAGCTCCCAGAAAAGGTGTCTAACAGATATATCTGTACATCATAGACTGGTTGTGTAGTTGGTCGGCGGGCCTTACAGAAATACTATTGCTTTCTACATGTGTTTTAAAACTTAATAAAAACTTCCCTGCTCTGCTCCATTTTTGGGCAAGTAGACAATATAAGTTATGGATGTGCTGGATGTGCTGGATGTGCTGGATGAGCAGAAACAGCATTAGCCCTTTCACTCAGCCTGCTCACTTCGGTATTCCTCCTCCTGTTCTTTATAAGGGTGTATAAACGACAACCGGAACAACAGGAATACGCACACTTATCCGATCACCCGCAGCAGTATTAATACTTTTGTTATCATATTCATTCATGAATTTTGGTTTAAACTATCATTTCTAATCCCTAACTGCACTCTTGGTCCACATACACACCTCCAGTTCAAAGAGATATGAGGGCAACTCCTTCAGGCTGTTGTCAGAGAAGTCCACCTCCTGCAGCTGCGTCCTCCAGGACATGGAGATGGTGTTTGGAAGATTCTCAATGACATTGGAGGAAGTGTTGCATTGCTTCTGCATAGGATGTGATAGGAGAATATCCATTTGGTTATTTTGGATGATATTCATTTAATTCACTTATCATACATCTCATATCTCATCAGCAACAATGATGAAACCCACTACAGGAGGGAGGTGAACCAGCTGGCCACGTGGTGCATAGACAACAATCTCTTTCTCAATGTGGAGAAACTACATCCAACACCCCCACCCACAGACCACTGGTGGTACTGCTGTGGAACAGGTGAGCCACCCCCCACACATTGTTGTTGTGTTTTTATCTTAATGTGTGCATATGTTTAAATGTGTCTGTTGATTGTGTATATATAGGATATACATATTTTATACATATTTGTATATATATATTTGTATTATTGTATTCAGGATTGTTGGAAACGTTATTTCGATCTCTCTGTCTGTACACACAAACTGAAAGATTGGCATTAAAGTTGACTTTGATACATTAAGTTCCAGCAAAACCCCAAACTGCAGCATCAGAATCAGCAGATATAGCAAACAGGAAGTGGATGACAGCATTCCAGTTTCTCACCAGAGGACAGGCCCAGGGCTCCGGGAAGCTGCTCAGTTTGTTCCTGCACACATTGAGCAGGATCAGGGACTTCAGACAGTGCATGACTGCTGTGGGCAGGCTGCTGAGACAATTATCAGACACATCCAGCTCCTCCAGCTTACGCAGACCAATCCAGTTAGTGGCTGACACAGAAGAAAAACCGAACACAGCCGAAGTGAAAATCAACCCTGAAACTGAAAGGCCTTTCAGCTGTTGCCACTGGAAATAGTTTGAATCAGTATTGAAATGGTAATAGTCACTATAATGGAAAATATATGGCAACATCCATTAATCTCACATGATGTGTTTACATAAGTGTACTACCAACATGTTGATTATTACAGCTTTGTAATAAATGAAGAGACCACTGAAAAATGATCGGTCACAAATACAAAATTATTTTTGAAATGATTAGAACATACTGGAAGGAATGTCAAACAGGTCTGTGAGCTGGTTCTTAGCAGCAGAAATTCTCTGGATGTGGGTCAGATGGAGGAGTCCGGGCGGCAGACTGCTGAGCTGGTTCTGGGAGAGATTGATGTGCTGTAACCTGAGCACAGGAGAGAGGGATGATGTTTATGATACAACCAGCTTCATTTAGGAATCACTCTTTAATCAGTGTTTGCCCTACTTTTGTAAACGAGAAAAGCTTAAACACTGACATTTTGGTCAATTGTTTGCCCTTTTAGCTTAAGAAAAAGCAGATCATGGAGTTTAATCATGGAGCCCATTAACAGAATACATTTAAAGACTGGAAGCATTGAATAACAATAAGCTGGCACTTTTTATTAAAAGTGTATTAAAGTCAGTGCACATAACCATGACAATACAAACTCAGAAAAGCAAGAATCCTGAAGGTACATCAGCTTCAAAAGAGCCAAACTGTTCAAACTGCTACATGCAGAAATGAAAAATTCATATTCATCTAATTATTTGTAAATGTTCTGCGATGGTGGATGTGTAGATGTTCTGCTGTCATGATATCAATGGGGAGCTCATTCCATTTTGGAGCCACGATAGAGAGCAGGGAGTTGTGCACAGTGAAGTGCACGTGCTGAAGTGTATAATGGAAGCATTTCCTGAATGTAGGCAGGGCCTGATTTATTCACTACACGGTTCTGCACATGTACAAACAGAACATGAGGCATTGGGTTTTTCAGGAGCAATGAGCATATGGTGGGGGTGCTCCTGCTTCTGTAGCCTATGTTCAGCATCAGAATAAGAATCAAGTGTATTGCCAGGTACGTTTACACATACAAGGAATTTGCTTTGGTATCTGGTGGTGCAAACATAAACAACCTAGTCCAGTGTTAATCCAGTGTTAGTCTGGACGGCGTTTCCTCTAGCTTCGGTATTTTTGGTGATGAGGTTCCTTCTGTCTCTCTTGATCGCTTTGCTTTGGCTCTTTTATGCCAGCTTTCAGTCTGGCTCTGGTGATACTGTACATTTCCTCACCTGACAGAAAAGCAGCTTTTTTGGCTCTGGACAGGGCCCATCGCTATGACTCCTTAATAACTTGTACAAATGAAATAAACTTGTGAGTATGAGATAATACTTTGTATGTATGAGATAATAACTTGTATGTTTGTTTTTTTTTAGAAGATAATGACGTATAGCTGCTAGCTGGCAGTGTGTATTTTTCACAGCTGGTGCCTGTGTACCTGGAGCAGAGGACCTGCTGGGAGCTGGCAGCAGCTGGCAGCTCCTTCAGAAGATTGCTGGAAAGATCTAGAGTCTGCAGGCCGATGAGACCCCAGGGCACTACGGAGGGCAAAGCCCCAAGGCTGTTGGAGGACAGATCTAGGTGGGCGATACATGAGGAGACATCCATGAACCAATCGAGCTCCAACCAGGGCAGCTGCAGACCGCTCCAGCACACAGACACAGCCTGCACACAGCATGGAGGGGGGGGGGGGTAAACAGGGTGACTAAAATCTTATCAACCTAATTGTAATACATTGTAAAGCTTAGCTGAAAAATGAATGAACTTTCATCATATTATTCTTTCAGAGTTTTCAATTTCATGCAGTATTGTCAAGGCTTTTTTTAATTATTAAAGATCCTTTGAAAACAAAAGAAAATGTATTCGTATGTAAATACTGCAATTGGTTTAATATGATAGAATATATAATATAATATAATTTCAATATTTTACTATCTTTTATAATTAAAATGACTATTTTCATTCACATTATGAGTTTGTAATTGACATGATCCATATGCAGTAGAGATCTCATCACAATAATATAAAGATAACTTCTATATGGCTATTCTGAGTATTTCGCTGTAAAACGATATTAACACTCCCTGCCCTCTTACTACCAGAACTTACTGGGGTAAGTGGAGGTGCTCTTGTCTCAGTACCCTCGATCTATCCAGCTGGGCAGGTAGTTCCACTCTTCACACGCACCTCCGCATCCACACGCACACACACACACGCATGCACACAAACACACACGCATGCACACACACAAATTCCTTATTGTTCTTTTAATGTTTTGGATAATGTTTAGGATTGAATTGCCTTGTGTACTAATAGGATTCCTGATCACTGCTCTGACACCACAAGCCATTGGTCTGCACCGCAATGAGCTGGCACTCAGACGTATCAAAACTCTAACGCAAGTCAAACTGAGACTTTTTACTTGCATTTAGTTCAAAAAAAAAAAAAAACTCCTCCTAAATTGTCTGCCAAATGTGTAACGCCTAAGCTGGTGTTTTGTTTGCAAACAGAGCAGACATTCTGCTCCCTAAGGTTTGACACAATCTGCTGTTAAATATGAGCTCTCCTCTGAATGCCTCACATTTGTTGGTTCCGAAACACATTCTTATTACCACCTTTGTTTCCAGAATACAGACCTTGTCTCCTTCTGTGTTCGTGGTTTCCTGTAGTTTGAGTCTAAGGAGGTGTTTGCTGAAGGCTGGGTGGTCCATCAGGGTGTATGAGGAAAACCCCGCCCCGTTCTGCAGCAGGAAGCAAGATATCTCCTCATTACCTGCAACACAAAACGCACAACTCACTTAATGTGTTCGAAGTCCCAGTGTTCACTATCTGTCACTGTACTGTTCAATAATTACATGGCCTAAAAGTTTTCAACACAGAAACGTATACTTTCTTGCAGTTGTTCAGCATGTGCAGCTATAGTTTTGGATTCCTGTCATTGTGCATGCTGGGTCATTCTAAAATTGTCATGGGCTTCCCAGACGAACCCCTATCAGCTAACAATTGGCTCATCAGCACTTTTACTGGTCAGAAGACTTCCCTTACATACCAGAGCTAGCACACAGCTCTGCTAACTCCCCGCCCAGACTCCCTGACGTATTGGACTAGAGATGGGACAAATCTAACCCAATATCCAGGGTATAGTGCGCACCGCCATCAAGGATTGTTGTTGTTAGCCTCTGGTTAGCTAGCTGCGCTAACAGATATAAGGAGCTGTTTCTACAACAAGGTGGAGGAGAGCATTTTCCTGTCAGACTGAGAGGCTCAGATAACTACAGCTCAGTGAGGTAAAGGACTCTGAGTGTTTAGATAGCTAACTTTAGTCTAAGTTATCTCAGTGGGCCTCAAATTGTTTGGTCACCATTTATGTAAACAAGTGTTTCCAGGACACACCTTTTATCATCATCATTATAGTTATACAAAATAAGAAAATAAATGAAAATAAGGTATGGAATAATTCAAATTCATACTATAGGACAGTGAAACAAAAATAGAGTTTAAAAGTGGAGTGGTTAGTAAAATATGCATAAAGAAAATATTTGTACAGTTCTGTTTCATATGGGTTTTGAGAGAGTTTTAAGTGCATTCGACCAAGAAGATACAAACTTGAAGAAAACAGAATCATATAAGTACATCAGGTTTCATAGAGCCAAAACATTTCAAGTGCTACTCAACTGGCTTTAGATAAGCCAGTTGAGTATAAGTGCTTTGTTAGTAATTCTATCGCTCGAAGTGGAGTCGAAAGAGATGAGTTTTTAGTCTGCGCCGGAAGATGTGTAAGCTATCTGCTGTCCTGATTTCAATGGGGAGCTCATTCCACCATTTTGGAGCCAGGATAGCAAACCCACGTGTTTCTGCTGATGGGAACTTTGGTCCCCCTCGCAGTGCGGGTGCAGCGAGCTGTTTGGCTGATGCAGAGTGGAGTGCACGTGCTGGGGTGTACGGTTTAACCATGTCCTGGATGTAGGAAGGGCCAGATCCATTCGCAGCATGGTATGCAAGTACCATTGTCTTGAAGTGGATTCTAGCAGTTACTGGAAGCCAGTGAAGGGAGCGGAGGAGCGGAGTGGTGTGGGAACATTTTGGAAGGTTGATGACAAGACGAGCCGCTGCATATTTAATCCAATCAAGTCCCATCCAATTAACAAAAAAATCCAACTCTGTCTTGAAGACAGAACCCAGAGTAACCACTAACCAGGATGACAGTCTGTAACACAATCAGGAGACCTTTTATAAACTGCCCCGCCCCCTCGCACACAGACGGGAGAGAGAGATCTCTCGTCTGGATTGGAAAGATGATCGAAAATAAGGTCGAAAATACATCATAGATGCATTTTGTAGTCGTATTGCATATTAGAAACGGAGTTGGCGAAACTAAAACTGCAATATAATGTTTATGTAGCAATAATACATATGAAATATATTTTTTAAATGTCTCCAATAGGCCTACCGATAAAATATATCTAACGGCGGGCAGGTGCAACAGAAAGAGAAAACAGCCGCAATTTCAGCCTGTCCGGCGCCCAAGATGAAAAAATAGGTCAGGAGGTTAATGGGGCTAGCCGGCTACTACAGGCAGTTCATCCCATCCTTTTCGGAGCTAACCAGCCCTCTGACCGACCTGACCCGAAAGGGTACTTCAGATCCGGTCCAGTGGACGGAGCGGTGTCAGCTGGCATTTGAGAGGGTTAAGAAAGCCCTCTGTGGTAAGCCGCTTCTATACTCTCCTGACTTCTCTCTCCCTTTTGTGTTGCAGACCGATGCCTCGAACAGTGGGGTGGGGGCCGTTTTGTCCCAGCAGGTAGAGGGGTTCGACCGCCTCGTACTGTACATTAGCCGTAAGCTCGCCCGGAGGGAGGTGAACTACAGTACGGTGGAAAAGGAGTGCCTCGCCATACGGTGGGCGGTCGGCGCCCTGCGGTACTACCTCCTAGGGCGCCCTTTCACCCTCTGGTCGGACCATGCCCCGCTCCAGTGGCTCCACCGCATGAAGNACGTAAAAGGTGATGTCATGACGCAGCACCAGTCGGGCTCTGGGCAGTGGGTGCTCTTCTGGTTCCGAACTGGTTCTTCTTTTTAGCACCAGTTGTGTTTCCACTGCCCAGAGCCCGACTGGTGCTGCGTCATGACATCACCTTTTACGTCGCTGATTTTCTCCCCAACGCCGCTCACAACAACAACAATAGGGGACTACGTTGGGTCGAAGATCGTGTTGCTATTAAACATACGAAGTCAGATTAAATTAAAGAACACCTTCTCCAACGTAATACTCTTTCCCGGAGTGCAGTGCTTCATTGTCTATTAATGTGGTTCAGCGGCATTTACCGACAGCTGCAGTTCTTCTCCCACCGGAGTTTAGTCTACCGATAACTCACGCCAGAGTTTAATCTACCGTTAACTCACGGCACAGTTTATTTAGTCTACCGTTAACTCACTGCAGAGTTTATTCTCCCGTTAACTCACGGCAGCAGCCGCTGGAAAGTATTCACTGTCTGACTATCACACAAGCAACTGATAAATATCCCCCATCCCCATAAGTGAATGAGTTGTGGAGTTTCTCTGGTTTAAAATGGGTGATGTTAGCATAGCAACCGAAGCTAAACTGACTATTTTGATCACTTGTTGCTATCCTATTGTGGCATAAGCCGTTTTCTACAGGGACATTTTACCGGCATATTTTTCATTATGATTGTACTTGTGATAGTCGGACATGACAACCTGTGCAGCCCATGTATTGATTCCATCCAATAGCTGCTATAATACAAAACAAAACATCTGCCTGCTCTCCACAATGATCAATAACTGCAAACGGATGGTCAAAGTAAGGTAAACATAAACAGAATTACACTAAGCCTGGTAGTGTTGCCTGACTTTATAAAGTGTGTTTTTTTATAAGTGTGTGGTTGTGTTCTAGTCACTTTGCTCAGCGCTACTGCTTGTTACAACTTTTATTTGCCTTACTCTCCATGAACTGTTATTGCTCAGGTTAATCTCGCCCCCTCCGACGTAAGCGTGACGTATTGGTTCAGGAAGAACCAGAGCTTAATCAGGCTCTAGCCCGGAACCGGTTCAGTGGAAAAGGGGCAACATACATATTTTTAAACGATTATTCCTCATCAGGACGTGTATTGACCAGAGGCTATGTGTCAACCATCAAACACCTTCATCTTTTGATGTGGATATGCAATCATTCTTGTAGTCTGTTAAAGCAAACCGGGTGGTGCAGGAATCTCTCCCGGAAACCGGAAATTAGTTAGCATTTTCCCACATCCTGTTACCTCGTCTGAAGTCGTGAACATGTTTTTGTTAGATGCCAGGAAAAGGTCTGAGGTTAACAAAGAAGAGACGGCATTTAAATACCTCATTAAAAATGTGTCCAAAGCTTCTAGCTAACAAGTGGTGAAATGAGACGATGGACCCGGTCAGTAAACAATGTACGCCTGTGGGAAACACTTCCCCTAATCGGAACTATGATGCTAATTAGGTTAACGTCAATCGTTTAGGTGTAATGCAACCTAAACGATTGACAAAGTAGTGACTGTAGTTGCAGCATTCAAATATAAAAAACTGACAAGTTGAGGAAATCCCAGTTTTGGTGTTATCTGCTACCTGCCACTTGTCCACCAGCAGACTGACATCCATCCTTTATAGCTTTTAATTTAACGATATATCGACATCGATCTCCAATGACATTTTATAATTGTTTGTCTGACTGACCATCGTAATTGTGCTCACAGCATTCTTCATTATTTTATGTGTTAGCCAAAACCCTCAGAATCTGTATTCCTGCCAGTTGAATGACAGAGAATGTTTTCACCCAAACAGGGCAATGGCCATGACATATTCGAAAAATACCCAGATGGGTTGTTCTCATCTATAAACTACTTCAAATAGGATTTCTAGTTTGTGCCTCTGGGTAGCCTTGGTAAAGATGCGGGTAAAAACACCCAACAGAAACAGTATACCATGTACCGTACAGTAAGAAACGTAGAGTCGCTGGTTCAAGTCCCCGACCAGACCTAAAATATGGAGTTTGGACTGGTACTTGGAGAGGTCCCAGTTCACCTCCTGGGCCCTGCCGTGGTCGCCTTAAAGAGCCTGTGACAGCCTCCCAACAACTGTTGTGCAATGAAATATTGGGCTACTAGTAATCTCGAACCGTCAGTTTAAAAAAGAAGGTGCGATACCAATCCGATAAATATCAATAATTTCGAATTTTCGGGGAAATTCCTTCGACTCATTTTGAAGTTTTGGGGGAAGCCGGAAGTGACGTCAATGCTTAGAAATGGTAAATTACTGAGTTTAGGCACGTTAATAACGTTTTCATGAAGTTGACTACAGTAAATTCATATTTGTCAGTGCTTTCATGTCAATTCGGCGAACATAAACATAAATGATCGTGGTGAAGATGATGATTAAATTAGGATTAAAAATCGGTAGTGAGAGCTGCTGACTTTCCTCCCGTCGGATGTGATATAAAAACTCAAGTGGATGAAACTACATTTATTAGTGCTTTCATGTCATTTCGGTGAACATATGATACTCTAGACCAGTGGTTCTCAAACTTTTCCTGTCATTCCCCACTTTGAACAGGTGGGCCTTTTCAAGCCCCACCTGTTCCTCATCGCTCCAATAAAATGGTAGGCCAAGCTTAAAATTGTCAAATGTAACGTTCAATAACAGGGGTCTCCAACCTTTTTTAGGATGAGAGCTACTTTCAAAAAATAAAATAAGTCGTGGGCTACTTTTACTCCTCTTTTTTGTTTTTTTGCAGTGTATGTATTTAGCACATTTTAACATTATTATATGCTACCTTTAACCTTTGTGTGCTGTTTGGGTCTGTGGGACCCCTTTTCAGTGTTTATTAAAAAAAAATGTATGCAATATAATTATTTTAACCTGCTTTATTTGGGGGTGGACGTCACATCCTCTAGGGGGGGCATGCACCCCCAGGAAGATTTTTTTTAAATGTTGAAGTTAAATGCATCAATCTGGTGCACTTTGAGCTAGGGCTGCTCAATTAATCGTATTTTAATCGCAATTACGATTTTGGCTTGCAACGGTTATGAAAACAACATAATCGAAATAAAACGATTTAATTTTTTTTTAAATTGGTTTTTCAGTTGAATTATACTTAAAGTTCAGGGTAATCAACTGTTAAAAACATACTTTTCAAATTATTTTCTTCAATAAATTGATGTTTTCAAAGTAAATGGTTAATCGTTTTTTTAATAATCGTGATATCAATTATTGACCCAAATAATCGAGATTATGGTTTTTGCCATAATCGAGCAGCCCTACTTTGAGCACAACATGAATTTATGGATACAGCTCTCAACACTCATATGAAAGGGGGCTGTATACTTTTCAATAATCCAAACATCTTTAGAATATGATCACAACAAATCATTTAAACTTGTTTATTCTTATCTTATGTTACCTAGTTAGCATTCTTTCTTTTTATTTATGCATATTTTACTAATCCCTCCCCTTTTAAACTTTTTACTGTCGTACACATTGGAATGATTTCTTACTTTATTTACCAGCTATAGTAATTGAACGAGAGAGTAATGTCAAATGACAGTACAATTGACCAATCATATCTTCCCTCTAAATGGGTGGGCTTTATTATCGCGGACATAATGTCAAGTTCCGCCCGCTGTGAAACGTTTCTTGTTTCCATAGCAACAACAACTGTCAACAGCGTAAACTCGCCTTCAAAATAAAAGCATGCCAAATTACACTTAAGACATACAACTGCAACGAAAGTAACAAACACAATGCAATATCCTTTTCAATTTCAAAGAACACAAATTGGGTTATTTACAGGTGTTGTTTTGTGTGGTAGAGGGTCGCTTTCATTGATGCGTTTTGCACCCCGGGCGGCCCGTTGTTTTGATATTCCACCAGTGTGAAAAAAAAAAAAAANATATATAAAGAAAAATATAATTTGTTTTAATGTTTTTAAATATTATTTTGTAGAATATCTTAGGCCCTCAGAGACAGGCTCGCCACTGGTAAAAATCTCTCATACACACATGTGAAACGCTCTCACAGACACACACAACAGCGTTGCAGTCGGGAAGAAAAGCAATGTGGAGCGAGAGAGAGAGAGAGAGCGAGAGAGCAACAGAGAGAGCACACCTTTATCTATTTAATAAAGTTGTAAAAAATAAAGTAAGAAATCATTCCAATGTGTACGACAGTAAAAAGTTTAAAAGGGGAGGGATTAGTAAAATATGCATAAATAAAAAGAAAGAATGCTAACTAGGTAACATAAGATAAGAATAAACAAGTTTAAATGATTTGTTGTGATCATATTCTAAAGATGNCGCATCAATGAAAGCGACCCTCTACCACACAAAACAACACCTGTAAATAACCCAATTTTAACAAACACAATGCAATATCCTTTTCAATTTCAAAGAACACAAATTGGGTTATTTACAGGTGTTGTTTTGTGTGGTAGAGGGTCGCTTTCATTGATGCGTTTTGCACCCCGGGCGGGCCGTTGTTTTGATATTCCACCAGTGTGAAAAAAAAAAAAAAAGATTTTTTTATTTTGTATTTCGTTACCCACCTATCACATTTCTGCGCCCCACACTTTGAGAAACGCTGCATCAAATGATCGTGAGGAGGATGATTTAAAAATAATTTGTTTGAGCCGGTCTGCATTTCCTGATGAAAAAACAAACCGATGCTTTTTGTAGTTGTAGTACACCAACATGGATTAAACGTGTGGCTTTTTTACCACAACGTTGGGGGAAATTAATGGATAAAATGCACGGATTATTATGATTATTATTATTATTATTATTATTATTCCCACTCCAATCGGGTCCCTAGGTCCACCGTTTCCCCGCAGCGAGGCTCCCCCGGTTGACAGTTTACGTGGGCGGGGCTGGGTGCAGTGGCGGACTGGCCATCGGGACGAATCCCGATGGGCCGGTAACGAAGTGGGCCGGTCGGATAAGTCACTAGCACATCCCCCACTCCCCCCGTTGACAATTTACTAGCGGTACCGAAGTGGGCCGGTCAAGAGTCCACCACTGGCTACATGACCGTATTATCGCCCATATTGACGCACCTNCGAGGGGCGAGAAAAGAGACGCCTCCGTTTAATATCTCCCTGTTATTAGTCGAAAGTTAATGTAACCTCATTTACTATAAGAGTTTATTTTAATATAATAGAATTCCAGCCCATTCTGCCATGCGTAAACGCACGAGGCGCCACACAGCAGCAAGCTCAGTCAGCCGATGACAGTTTAATTGAACGGCGGAGAGGGCGCGAGAGAGGCGAAGGATCGGCGTTATGTTGTATCTGTTAGAAGTTTAGGACATTTAGTGCCCCCGTCCAATATGGGCGATAATCACGGTCATGTAGCCAGTGGTGAAGAATACTATATGACCGGTTCAGCTAGTCGGTACGATAGTAAAATTGCTAAAGGGGATGTTCTAACTGGAGGATGTTTTGCTCCCGCTCAACGCTCGTCACAGCGGGCGGAGTGCAGGTGATCTGGTAGAGCTGCGTGTCTCCGTCAGCAGCAGCTTGATCTCTTGATTTCTCTCTCGGCGTCCTGTTATAATTCATGGTCCATGTCGATCAGATCCAGGTACATATTAGCGGGTGAAGCCTTTGGCGAGCATCTTTTGCCGCGCAAAGAGGAAATGTCTATCGATATATCTACTGTGCGCATCCGATCGACTCTCTTTCTGAGTTATCCCGGACCTTTATAGAGAGCATCCGCGATGCCGTGCTCAACTATTATGCAGCAGGCGAATAACCTCAGCGCAGCCCACGATAATAATGATCAACGGGGCAGCGACGCGGCCGCGCCTCGAGACACTACTCGGAGCACTCCCTTGTCATATACTGGACACTCGACGCGCGTGATTGGGATATGATGTTAACGTATTTTATATACTAATTAATATATACCAGCTATAAAATAACAATAATCGTAATATAAACCGGTCTGCCTTCATAATCACGAGCTGCAAGAAATTACAATTTTATTTCGCTGATGAAAGTGGCACTCATCGTATAGTCTATCCTAACAACCAGTCCAATCAGGTCGTAATCCTTCTATTGATATGGATAGTCTAGACTCAACTACAGGGATACATAGCCAAGGTATCGTTCTGTTATTTTCAATACAAGGTACAGATGCAGAACTGACATCTCATAGACATACACTCTCCATTTTTATCAGATGAGCAGTGCGATACCTACTACGGAATCATCGAAGATGCGCAGTCTACTCAGATGAGCGTGGGCTGCGCACGCACCGGGGGCAGAGTGGCGGCAGACACAAAAAGAAGTAGTATTTTTATTTTTGCTTTGGGGGACCAATGGCATGGACCGGTTCACGCAGTCTCAAAGTAACATCAAAGAACTAACACAATTTGTAATTGTCCATGTCCAAGGACCTTGCTCACTTTCATGTTCATGTGATACCTTAGCGTGTACGAGCGAACCGTTTTAATAATCACCTGAATGTTACGAGTCTAGCAGCAGCAAATTCAGCAGCATTATAAAAAAATTATTAGCTTGCATTTATAATGTACAGCAAACCAAAGCACAAGAGCGGCGCTCAAAAGAGAAAGGACAAGAGAGAGTGTATGTCTGTGCGTGTGTGAGCGCATCATCGTGCGTTTACGTTTGGGGGGGCGGGGGGGGGCCAAAACAATATTTGCACCGGGGCCATCACAACCTTGTTACGCCACTGCCCCTTACATTTACCGTCAACAGTGATTGGACATCAACATAAAATATAATAGATCCATAAACCTACACTTAAGCAAAGGAGTATATCTTTTCTTACAAGAAAAGGCCACTTCCAATTGTTTAAAATGTCATTTTGTGTTTTCTTTTATACATTTTCATAAACGTGCAGCTTACTGTGTGTTGTGGCCTTTAGGCGCGAGCACCCAACTCTGCGGTGGTGGTGGTGGGAACACATCTGGATCTCATCGACACCAAGTTTCGCACCGAGAGACTGGCCACTCTGAGAGCTTACATTCTGGCTCTATGCCGATCCCCGTCAGGGGCCCGAGCTTCCGGATACCCCGACATCACCTGGAAACAACTGCAGTATGTCCCTAATGCTGCATCATCATTATATTAGCCTGAAAGAGCACCTGTCTGCACAGTGTTTTCAGTGTGTGTTGTGTGTGTGTGAGCTCAGTGAGGTGTCCTGTAGGACTCGGGAGGGCTTGGAGGCTTTGAAGAAGCTGCTCTTCCAGGTGTCTCGCTCCATGAGGGACAGCAGCAGCAGCTCGGCCTGTGGCAGCAGGCTGCTGGGCAGACTGGTGAGTGAGGCCATGTGACTGATAATGCTCCACACGTTGTGTCTGTGTGTCCTCTGTTTTGGTTAAGTTGAACCAAGATAAAGCCAGAAATAATCTTAATAAGGAACGACAGAAGGCAGTCAAAGATGATATTTCGAGAGGGATTCCAAAACCAAGTCAGTAACTCAATGTTTTATAGGGAGCTGTATCATACCCTTTACGGGAATTCAAGAGAAGAGTACATTAGTTATTGGACAAGCTTGTTGACATTATTGACATAAACGGAATATTCCTGAACAGGACACATGGCTGCTATGAGATCCACCACTGTAAAGATTTTGAATGTCAAGATCACTCTCTTCATAACTTGGTAACATGCCTTCCTTTTGTTGTGTTAGCAGGCCGAGTTAATTACTGGCGGTTAATCAGACCTACTAAGTTTACTGCCAGGCTTTATTTAAAAAATGGGTTCACGGTTTAAACTGGGTTTTATGATTCTTTTGTAACGATGTGACATTATTTATTCCGACCGAGCGGCCAGTGGACGTCACTAGGTCCTCTGCTTATTTCTAGTTCTTTCCCTTGACCAACTATCGAGTGGCAATTACTAGGTCATCATCAATTCTTTGTTCTGCTGTCACCTTTCTTCTGCCTCTTCAGTTGAAGTTTTTCAGAGTGTGCTTCCAGGGGGATTGCCCTAGATAACACTTTTCTCAGAGGTATCTCTTAGTACTGTGTCTCATCCAAGGCTAGGAATTCTCCAATAGTGATCCCAGAGCAGTTCCTGCCGCTGAGTTTACAGTATTTCCATGGTTATAATACGTTTGCGGCTTACATCATTATTAAGAAGTATTTAATTCATACGAATTACAAGTACACAACGGTTCCATGTAACCATGAATATTTTCCTTTTGAGAGGGTCGTCTTTTTTGGATTAAAGAGCTAAAGACGATCCCAGTCCAGGGGTTGGAATGGTATCCAACATGTCAGCCATCTTTCCCTCACTTTAGTTTGAAATGTGAAAATCTTAGGTGTTCTTGAACTAGTGGGTCATTTCAAATATCCAACTGGAAATAGTATAAGGATTTATTTTTCTCATTTGTAGTAGTTCTTATGGTTAGTTTCAGGAACTATCTTGTGAAGAAGACTCAAAACGACCAGGCAGACAAAACCTTTATTCTGTTATTCTAAAACACCAACAGATTTGACTATGGTCTCGTCCACCAGGTCCCCAGGAGCTACCTGACCCTTCAGGATGCAGTGCTAGCAGAGAAGCAGCGGCGGGATGCTGAAGGAGAGGTCCAATACATCACTGAGGCCCAGCTGGAGCACATCCTCAAACAGAACCCAGAAAGGGACATCAGAGACTATGAGGACCGTCAGACTGGTACTGTGTTTTGTTAGCAAACACATAGATGTGAAAAATGTTCAGCTTGAGAAGTTTTTTGTTTGTACAGTAACCTTGAAAGATTTGTTCTTCTGATTAACTCTGATAGTGCCAACTTTGGAAACATGGTTACACATGCTATACCAGCTAACAGAGGTAGATGACTCCTGAATGCTCCTGTAGCTGATATTAGCAAGCCAGTCAAGACCTTTCACCATTTACAAAAGACAACTTTAGAATGACCCTTATTAGGGCTGCACAATATCAGGAAGACATGTTATGTGGATAACATTGTTGAATATTGCAATAATGATATCACTTGCAAATACTTAAACATACAATGTTAACATTGTTCTGCTTTGGGTTTACTGCCAATATAAAAGACAGTCATAAGCCTATGCCGAAACAGAAAAAAAATGTAAGGCATTATTTCCATTGCAACATGATTTCTTTCTTTATTATTTTTATGATCACTTGCCCCCCTTTACAACATGTTCTGGTTCTTTAAACAAAAACATACCTGAATTATTGAAATTGATATCTATTAAACGTTCTACACACAGTGACAGCGGTAAAGCCATTCTTCTTACTCGCCAAGTAAAGATATCTTCAATACTATTGTATCTTATATGAGTTAATATTAAGGCGTTGTGCTGCCGGAGCGCACTGGAACAACACTACAGGACTTTATTTTGCAGTTCGAGCAAGGGGCCAGTCACATTGCACGTTTTATTTTCTCGTGCTTTGGTCCACTGTTGTCAATGTTCATGCGCCTATTGTTCAGATCTCAACCAGAGCCCAGAGCTGGTTACAAACAAGCTGTTACACAGAGTTTGGGTGTTTGTTTGCACATTTGGATACAACAGGAAGCTGGCTGACCGATGTGTTGTATATGTATATTAATATTATGCCCTCCACCACACCATTCATAAGGCAACACCATGCAAACGGCTCTCCTTCTTTTTACACTATATCCAGCCATCAGCTTCTTGATAGAGACAGGGGCCCTGCTGCACTTCCCGGACACCAGCCACGGCCTGTGCACCCTCTACTTCCTGTGTCCTGTGTGGCTGTCAGAATGCCTGGAGAGGATCATGCGCCTCAAGTCCTCTCGCTCTTTAGCCAGGAATGGGGTGATCAGAACTGAAGACCTTAGGGTGAGAATTAGTACTGGTAAACTGGTAAATACTGGAATTTAAGAGTGTTAATGATTATATGACTTTCTATGGTGATATCTCTGATGATGTCTATGCAGATGCTGTTGGTAGGAACAGGTTTCACCGAGCAGACAGAGGAACAGTATTTCCAGTTTCTGGCCAAGTTTGAGATTGCTCTTCCTGTGGCCAATAACAGGTAAAACATTTTATTTTTACGAAAATGTCATGCTCATTTGACATATTCTGAAATGTTTTCTCCGGAAACATGCCCTTTCATAGTAGAATGCCAATGGTGGAAGAAGTACTATCCTAGGTTGTTTTTTGCTGCCTGTCCCAGTTTCTCCAGCACACAATTATATACATCAAACATGCATATCTGGTAATCATGCAGAACTTCCTCAGAGCCACTTAACCTAGGAAAAGTCTCTGTGTAACGCATAAGAAATAATCATGGTGAAGTTGTCAATCAATCAAATGCAATGTTTACAAAAATACTTGTACCTTTTGTCTCAGGGACTTAACAGTCTCTGTCCTTGGACCCTCACATCGGACGAGGAAAAACTCCCAAAGAAACCCCCCAGTTAATGGGGGAAAGAACATTAGAAACCTCGCAGAGAGCAACAGAGGAGGATCCCTCTCCCAGGACGAACAGACGTGCAATACATGTTGTGTGTAAATTAAAGATAACATAGATTTACAAGATAGGTAGTCAACATGCTTGAAAAGACAGTTTCTATATAAAAGAAGAAGATAAAGATTGATACAATTGGATCTTCCAGGTGCCGCAACAACGACTCAGGATCCAGACGTAACCTTTAATACTGGCAACATCCGGGGATTGCGTTAGTAACATGCATTTTTGGGAGATGAGGGCAAAGAGATAGGGAAGATATACAGTCAAGTCCTGTTTGAGGATATTTACCTAACTCTGATAGGCCGTAGCATTAATCCAGTCAGTTATAAGGAATTAAGTGATCTTGGTATTTTTTAACACTTTGGTCAAGAATATATTTTTGCACACATGTCTGCACAGCCCTCCACTTTAAAATATAATACACTCTAGTTTGTCATATATTGGCAAATATTCATTGTCCTAAGTTTAGTTGCTTTTTAGGTTCTTTTGTATATTTAAATAAATATTTGGTGTAAATACTTGTCTTTAACACCCCTTGGCTGCTATATCTTCGAAACTGTTACAGGATGTGTATTTTGTAATACTAATTTTTTTTTTTTTAGTTGGCTCTTTTCTCGCTGTAACAAATGTAAATGTATCCTCTCTGGGATGAACAAAGGTATTCTGATTCTGATTATTTATTTAAAATGCTAAATAGTTTCTTATTAAAATAGTTTCTTTTTTATCATCGTTGTTTTTTTCTAAGCTACTCTTACAACTTCTTTTCTTAGATTGTTTATGTTTGCACCACCATACACAAAAGCAAATTCCTTGTATGTGTCAACATACCCAGCAATAAACTGGATTCTGATTCTGATGTATTAAGATGTTGAGCACAGCACAGCCTTGCACTAGCAGCAAGCATATCTAACGTTTATTCACATTGTTCTAGTTTTAAATTAATTCTTCTTTTCCCTTTTTCTCTTGGTGAAGCTTTCTGCTGCCCCACTTACTTCCCCCCAAGCCAGCTATGGACATCCACGGTCTTCGCCAGCAGACCCACAACACCCTGCAACGCCTCGTCAGGATGAGCTTTGTTCCTGCTGGATTTTGGGAGCGCTTTATAGCCAGGATGCTCATTAGCCTCACAGAGATGGACCTGCAGGTACTGAAAGCAGCTGATCATCATTACTCACCTTTTGTACTTACACTCCTCTTACAATCATGGCCTGATGCTGTGTTGTGACAGTCTTTTGAGCCCAAAAGAAACACCAGGAGCCAGTGCAGCAGGAACTCTGTGATCTACAGTTTTGCTGGAACCCAGCAGAGGAACCGGTGCAGCACCTTCAGAGTCAAACGCAGCCAGACCATATACTGGAAGGAGGGGCTGCTGGTCACTTTTGATGGAGGCTACCTCAGGTCAGAGCGGGGGTTAAAATGACGCAGGCAGGAATTAAATGAGGGAAATGCTTTATTGATGTAATGAAGTGTGTGGAGCTTCAGTTGGATGATCAGTATCTTGCCCAAGGACACGTCAACATGTGCAGGAGCTGGGGATCGAACCACCGACCATCTGATTGGACGACAAACTCCTACCTCCTGAACCACAGATCCCCCATAGTGTTCTTATCACATATATATCACAGGTTTCTTAGTGCTATAATTAGTTATAAGCCTAATGTACAAGATAACATACTTAAACATTAAGACAAAATATCCTCTTAAAATCTAAAATGAATTCAATGAAAACAGGGAGACAGAAAATGTTATGTTTACCAGCTCCTGTGTAAATGGTGAATGGGGAGGTAGTGAAAGCAGATATAGCTCAGTATAATGAGACGGCGACGTGCATTTGTGTTTCTGCAGTGTGGAGTCATCAGATGTCAACTGGAAGAGGAAGAAGAGTGGAGGGATAAAGATCATCTGCCATTCAGAGAGCAGAGACTTCTCTGCCATGGCTTTCATCACGGACAACGTGAACTCTCTGATCGATCAGTGGTTCCCCGGTCAGTGCCCTGAACAGTATCAATATCATTTTATTATGTTTTTGACTATTCAACTGTTTATCTTGCCATTTGTCTGGTTGACATGTTTGCCAAGGTTTGCAGAAGAGCATTTGTATTCAGCATATGATCCAAAAGGTCTTCTATGGGCTTATATACAGTTCGGCAAAAAAGTATTTAGTCAGCCACCAATTGTGCAAGTTCTCCCACTTAAAAAGATGAGAGGCCTGTCATTTTCATCCTAGGTATACCTCAACTATGAGAGACAAAATGAGAAAAAAAAATCCAGAAATCACATTGGTCTGGATTTTTAAAGGAGAATTATTTGGCAAATTATGGTGGAAAATAAGTACTTTGGGTCACCTACAAACAAACAAGAATTTATGGCTCTTCACAGACCCTGTAACTCTTCTTTAAGGAGGCCGTCCTCTGTCCTCCACTTGTTAACTGTATTAATGGCACCTGTTTGACTTTTATCATTATAAAAGACACCTGTCACAACCTTCAAACAGTCACACTCCAAACCCACTATGGCCCAAGACCAAAGAGCTGTCAAAGGACACCAGAAACAAAATTGTAGACCTGCCACCCAGGCTGGGAAGACTGGAATCTGCAAGTAGGTAAGCAGCTTGGTGTGAAGAAATAACTGTGGAGCAATTATTTAGAAAATGGAAGGACATACCAAGACCACTGGATAATCTCCCTCGGAATCTGGGGCTCCACGCAAGATCTCACCCTATGGGGTTCAAATGATCAACAAGAACGGTGAGCAAAATTCCCAGAACCACACGGGGGACCTAGTCAATGACCTGCAGAGAGTGGGACCCCAAAGAATAACAAGGCTACCATTAGTAACACACTACGCCGCCAGGGACTCAAATCCTGCAGTGCCAGACGTGTCCCACTGCTTAAGCCAGTACATGTCCAGGCCCGTCTGAAAGTTGATTCAGAGGAGCAATTTAGATGATCCAGGAAGAGGATTGGGAGAATGTCATTTATGGTCCAGAGAAACCAAAATAGAACTTTTGGTAAAAACTCAACTAGGACGTGTTTGGAGAGAAAGAACACCATTCCCTACTGTGAAACATGGGGGTGGAAAACTCATGCTTTGGGGCTGTTTTTTGCAAACGGGGACCAGGACACTGATCCGTGTAAAGGAAAGAATGAATGGGCCATGTATCGTGAGATTTTGAAGTGACAACCTCCTATCCACAGGCAAGGGATTGAAGATGGAAACGTGGCTTGGGTCTTTCAGCATGACAATGATCCCAAAACACCACCGCGGCCGGCAACGAAGGAGTGGGCTTCGGTAAGAAGCCATTTCAAGGTCCTGGAGTGGCCTAGCCAGTCTCCAGATCTCAACCCATAGAAAATCTTTGGAGGGGTTGAAAGGTCCGTGTTGCCAGCGGACAGCCCAAAAATCACTCTAGAGGAGATCTGCATGGAGGAATGGGCCAAAATACCAGCAACAGTTTGTGAAAAACCTTGTGAAGACTTACCCAGAAAACGTTTGGACCTCTGTTCATTGCCAACAAAGGTTCATAACCAAAAGTATTGAAGCTGTGAACTTTGTTATTGACCAAATACTTATTTTCCACCATAAATTTTGCTAATTATTCTTTAAAAATCAGGACAATTGTGATTTCTGGATTTTTATTTTCTCTCTCATTGTGTCTCTCGAGAGTGTGACGGCCTTCATACCTAGGCATGAAACTTCACGGGCCTCTCATCTTTTTAAGTGGAGGAAAACTTGCACAATTGGTGGCTGACTAAATACTTTTTTGGCACCCACTGTATGTCTTAAATAATATTTGTTTTGAACTACAAATGATTTGTGTGTAAATGTGTCATTGTAAAATGTAAAACACCTTAACACAAATGCATTCAAAAAGATTTGCCAAACTCACAAAAAAAAGTGCAAATGTTAAAACGGATCTGCAAATACGCAAAATGTTTTCACAAATCAAAAAAGATCTTGTTGAAACTATTAATTACAAAGCACTTCACTTTATTAGTCCGCCTAGTTTTAACTTACCATCTGTATGGGAAGATAATCGCGTAGAAAAGCACCGGTATTTAGGTGCCCTTTTGCCTGGCCTGCCTGCCTGCCTGCCTGCCTGCCTGCCTGCCTGCCTGGCCCTGCCGCCTGGCCTACCCAAATTTGTAACTAATTATAGTATTCACAGATCTTTTTTTCATTTGTGAAAATATTTTGGTATGCAGATCCGTTTTACATTTTGCCACATTTTTTTTTGTGCGTTGCACAATCGTTTGGATGCATTTGTTGGAGGGTTGTTTTACATTTAAAAATCCACACATTTACACACAATCATTTTTATGTTCACGGCAAATATTCTTCCTCATCGTTACTCGGAAAAGAAATAATAGAGACAGAGACTGATGAACTGTTTAGCCCGCCCTTTGGGCATGGTTTTATTTTCCGTATGCACTGCACTTGGACATGCGTGTGGAGTGAATCGTGGTCACCTCTGAGAGCGGAGTGGTTGACAGCTAAAAAAGCTATAATATCAACGGACAGCTGACACGTAATAACGGTTACTGTGCCAGCTGATCTGCACCAAATACTCAGTTCCTTTTTTTCCTTGGTATCTGTCTCTCTCTGTCACGAACTCTTCACATGAATGTGTTCTTGTTGATGCAGCATGCCTTAGCCCAGTCCGTTTATCAGT